CCTCAACGAAACAAGCTGCAGTTAAAGGTTGCATTATTTTGAAACTGTCGTCATTTGGTTTGAATCGCATTCACATATTTCATCATTTGAGCAATTTGTCCAAGAGGCGATTATTCCCACTAGGACTACGTTAAGGGCCATGGTACCTGCACCAACCGACCCCTAGAGATATTGATGTATCACGATATTTGAGTCCATACTTTGACGCCTGCGAAAAGATGATTAACCACATTTTCTCTATATATAATTCAATCAAGATGCATACAAATACTATAGTTTGCGGTTATATTCAATCTAGTCTTACGTCTCACAGGGCTGTGGTAATCATTTTATCACGAAGCCCCTAACGCCATGCATGCTTCTAACGGTTTGCTCATGAGCAAAATTAGGACAACAAATAGTGAAGTTGGAAAATGTTGGTCCCAGCGACTGGTATCAAGCTAAAACCCGCCAAACAACATCCCTTTAATTGATGGGTCCTAGTTTCAAGACGCTTGATTTTGACGACGCTTTTTATGATCATGTAATTTCCACGTGGATATCTGTTCCCCTCAACACGTGGCCACGGCTTCCTTGACGACTGTTCTGTCGAAGCTCGCGTAAGCTGGTGTTACTATTTTGTCGCACTGTCCCTGGTCGAGAATTACTGGTGTTATAGTTTGACTTTATCACAGGCGCGTCGATCATGTGAGTGCTGTTTTGGCGCGCAACTTTCTGCAGGGAATTCCCACTACTTTTCCTGTTGATCCCTTGTTGACCACTTTTGGAATTTTCTTGTTTTCGCTCCACCAATCCCTGCAACGCCTCTCTCTCGTAGTTATGTAAGGACATGATGAGCCGGTGGCTACAGGTGCTCATGGTCACCTTGCGGAGCTGTAAACAAAGAAAAACTTCACTGAACTTTTATTAGGGACAAAATCACATTTACAACATCATTCACGTTCAGTTTCGAGTGGTCTTGTTTGGCTATAATTTAAGTCTTTTCTGGATATAGGCTATCTGTCTCAGAATGTAAATAGTTCAATCGTAGGCCAAGTCTCGTCAAGTTTGGCTCATATTCTGCGTATATAATTGCACAATATTTAATTTCAAAAACGTTAGTTAGAAAAATAATTGTGATATATTCTGCATGCTGTGGTCGTAAGATCTTCATTTCGTAAATTCATCACTATTTTCTACATTTAACCGCCGAGTTTCGTAGATCTTATTACCTTACTCACAGGACGCCCGCACCCATATTTTTCAGGTGTGCGACCAATTTGTAGTCAAGAAAAAGTAACAAACACACCAGTTTACAAAATAATAAGTGTGTGTGTGTGTGTGTGTGTGCGTGTGTGCACATGATTTAATCATTGTTATAAGTTCTTTCCGATCGTGTGTTACAATTGTAATAATTGCATTAACTATTACTTCAAGTTAAGTGAAGTGGTATATTAGTAGACCAGATTCGATTCCTAAAGTCATAGGTATGACTTTTTATCTAACTTGCTTTTTTAATCTACACCGAAAACGGAAGCAAATTTTTCTGCTAGTACTTGCTAGCTGCATGTCCGTGTCAATATTCTCTTTGTTAAACCACCTTCTGTATTCCACGAATAGCAACAAGTGCAAACAAATAAAAGAACGGATGTCGCCGGCTGTTTTCAAAGATCCTCATTATCATACACACAAAAACCTTCTTCATCCCATTGTATAGAGTCACTTTTTTAAAAAAATATTGAACTAAATATAGTACAACCAATTGTTTTTACTATGATTAAAACAAAATGTATCAGCAGTTCAATATATCTATTAACACGTGTAACTCGGAAAATGTTGATCAAAGGGTGAAATATATAACTGCGTTTGTCTGCATGTACAGGATGCACACAAGCAAACAATCAAGGCGTGACGGTGGGTGACTGGGGGGAAAACGCCCAACTGATCGGACGATATATCAATTATGGTTATAAAAAGGTTATAATAGATTTCCAAAGATTTCCAACGGATATAAGATGGCAGATGTCGCTATTTTCCGTCTTGAAACTAGACAGTCAAGGGACAAATAAGAGAGGAAGAAAGAAAAAGAGAGAGAGGGTGACAGAACAATCAGACAGACAGACAGACAGGCATACCTTTCTTTCCTGCCTAATCTTGAGCATCTTGATGGTATAGCCAATAACGACCATCAGGATTAGGCTGACTCCAACACCAAGAATCACACCGCCGGCAATAACAGCTCTGTAAAAACAACAGCATCAAGTCATCTTAAGGTCTGACCGTAGAATCGGTTATGATTGTTTTTAAGGGAAGCCTGCTTCACGATTTTCATTTTGATGTTTTCTGTAAAAATAAAGACTAAAACAACTATATATTGGCGGTCTTGTCACTTGATGACATTGAAACCCTTAAGATATTATTTAAGATAAGATAAGGGCTTATTCAGCCATTAATAAACAATTAAAAATTCAAATTTAATGGAAATTGGATTGCTTTTTGGGTAAAATGTACCAAGGTTACGACATGGTTGCTAAAAATCTATTTTTGTCGTTAAAATGGGAAACAACAGATGGATAAAAACTTTAAAAACCTTTTGGATCCTTTAAAAGTTAAAAGTCTACAGTTTTTCAGTAAGAAATTAAAAAGACCATGTGCAGGGTGGGTGGAGTCCACTGATTTTTTTCTGTCTTTGCTTCTAATCCATCTGCGAGGTGGCACTTATAGAGGGGAGATCAAGATCAATGATTTGACTACACGTATTAGACAGTGCTTATCACCGTAAGCATGGCTCGATAGTCGAATGTCTTTATTTTTTCTATGTTGGCTTTATATAAACAGAAAAAACATATCTAAGGATGTCAACTTGATAAGTCTCTCGTGTATCTGTCACATTGGTAAGAATTTGGATTTTGATGCGTTATTATTATTATTATTATTATTATTATTATTATTATCAACCAGATTTGCGTGTTTTAAAAGTCTATTAAATCGGATTTTATTAACTGCGATTTGTGTTTTATATCAGTGAAAGTCTTTGGAGAGCTTAGGTTGCAACTATACTTCAAATGACTATCACTTTATCTTGGCAGACTTTGTAATATTATGTAATAAATGATATTGTCAAAACGATAAAGTAGTGCCCAAAGTAACAAGTGTATAAACACTGTTGTACTGTATACTTAAACCTGTACAATATTGTCACGTAATGAATAATCAGATTTGTCAGCCATCTTTGTTAAAACATGGTTGTCATGACATTTCATCCGGTCTTACTCATTCAAAATGTAAAGAAGTTAACCGTCGACTCTTATCATGTTGGCAGTGAATGTTATTATCACCAAACCTTTGTTATTATTGTTATTCCTCGTTAGCACTTCAGGCCATAATGGGACACACTATACAGTAGTTTTTCTTCATAACAATGCTTCAGGAAGATTCATCACGAGATGTGACGGATGGCAATTATGTTCGAGAACAAAGATGTCCACACACGCACACACACGCACACACACACTGGTATTGCCGCCATGCTTTCCGCGAAAATTCATCAACATGACAGACGCTATTAACGTTGGCGCACCTCAGGGAATTCCATTCTTAGAAACCCTGTGAGTTGGCATTATTTTCCATCTCAGCTGGGTGAATGTAAAGTTATCAAGTTGCAATGGCTGTATAGTGAGGAATATGGTTATCTGGGCCGCCATTAGAGCCATGGTAATGCTATTACACTGTGCTGTAACGTTTTCCCACATTAAAAACCGAAGAGCTCCGTTGATGACATGTCTGGATCTTAAGTGTCTTTAGAGAGTTTTTTTCGTCACATTAGGAAGTCATTTATTTAATGGCGTATTTCTCCCAAAATGGTCGATTTCTCTCATTAGACTTAGTCGATCCAGAGGTAATGGTGCGGTGGGTGGTGATTCAGCTGACATAAAATATAGTGATTCTTTCTTTGTGCCTCGTGTACAAAGTCAGTTTAATGTCGCCATGTCTACAGTCAAACAATCTTTGTTGTGAACGTTACTCGTTGGATGTATCCACCGTTTTATGCCAATACCCCCCCCCCCCCCCGCCCGCCTGCAGTTTTAGTCTCCAAGAACATAGCGAATTATAGTAGGCAAAGACAAACTGATTTATTTACAAAGATTTATTTACGTAGCTCCTTTTACCCAAAGAAAGTGGCTGCCAGAAAAAAGTTGGAAATGCACATTACATTATTACAGTTTTAGGTTTAAACGATTGAGCATTCTTCCACTGATAAGAACCCTTTGGCACTTCGGTATTTGGGCCCTTTTCAGATATCGACCATTGTTTCAGTGATTATGTTTTCAAAAAGAAATTATTTTTGTAGGAAAGATATTGCAATACACCGATTTCAGAATGTCCTAAAATATACTATAGACAGATAAGTATTATCGGCAGCTCAAAGAAATGTGTCAATATTTTGAGAAGACTTCCACTGCATTGAAGTCCCGTACACCCCAAAAAGAACTCACATGCCACGGCAGAAAATGTTCGAAAAAAACTAGTAAGCCATAAATCTGAAAGTTCTTATCTAGTCTCGGCACGGCGAGAGACGCTATCGCAGTTATAATGACTACTTGGCAGAACTGTAGAGACTGGGTTTATCATCTTGAAAGGATATTTTATCCCGTAATCACCCCATGCCTGATGGCAATCTAAATCAAGTACTGAAAAAAAGAAAAAAACCAACGTGGGCTGATTTTATACGGTTTTGATTCTGGTTTTATCTGGTGAAAGATGAATATATTTTGACTCTAGTTGGTAGGATTCACGCAGTCTTAAATTCGATCAATACATTTTCGAATAAACCAAAAAAGGAAATAAACAAGGAAATGCACACCCCGTTAAAATATACACGTTTATCATTATATACTCGACATACATGTATAGATACTGTAGTCTAACAATGAAAACGACTAAAAGGCGATACGGTAACTGCCACTTTACATATGTTGACGATAACTGTAACCCACCCTCTGATGATAGNGTCGCTTTTTATGATCATGTAATTTCCACGTGGATATCTGTTCCCCTCAACACGTGACCACGGCTTCCTTGACGACTGTTCTGTCGAAGCTCGCGTAAGCTGGTGTTACTATTTTGTCGCACTGTCCCTGGTCGAGAATTACTGGTGTTATAGTTTGACTTTATCACAGGCGCGTCGATCATGTGAGTGCTATTTTGGCGCGCAACTTTCTGCAGGGAATTCCCACTACTTTTCCTGTTGATCCCTTGTTGACCACTTTTGGAATTTTCTTGTTTTCGCTCCACCAAACCCTGCAACGCCTCTCTCTCGTAATTATGTAAGGACATGATGAGCCGGTGGCTACAGGTGCTCATGGTCACCTTGCGGAGCTGTAAAGAAAGAAAAAAACTTCGCTGAACTTTTATTAGGGACAAATACACGAAGATCACATTTACAACATCATTCGATACGTTCAGTTTCGAGCGGTCTTGTTTGGCTGTAATTAAAATGTCTTCTACAAATATCTGTCTCAGAATGTAAATAGTCAATTGTAGGCTTATTCCCGTCAAGTTTGGTTTAAATTCTGTGTATATAATGGTACAATTTCATTTCAAAAATGTTAGTTAGAAAAACAATTGTGATTTGTTCTGCATGTTATGGTTATAAGATCTTCAATTCGTAAATTCATCACTATTTTCTACATTTAACCGCCAAGTTTCGTAGTTCTTATTACCTAACTCACAGGACGCCTGAATATCCATATTTTTCAGGTGTGCGACCAATTTGTAGTCAAGAAAAAGTAACAAACACACCAGTTTACAAAATAAGTGTGTGTGTGTGTGTGTGTGTGTGTGTGTGTGTGTGTGTAATTAAATCATTGTTATCAGTTCTTTCCGATCGTGTGTTACAATTGTAATGATTGCATGAAATACTACGTCAAGTGAAGTGACTTGACTACGTCAAGTATTTTAGTAGACCAGATTCGGTTCCTAAAGTCATAGGCATGACTTTTTATCTAACTTGCTTTTTTATCTACACCGAAAACGGAAGCAAAACTTTTTGCAAGTACTTGCTAACCGCATGTCCATGTCAATATTCCCTTTGTTAGACCACCTTCTGTATTCCACGAATAGCAACAAGTGCATTTAACTAATAAAAGAACGGATGTCGCCGGAGGTTTTCAAAGATCCTCATTATTATACGCACAAAAACCTTTCTCACCCCATTGTATCGAGTCACTTTTTAAAATATTGAACTAAATATAGTTCAACCAATTGTTTTCACTGTGATTTAAACAAAATGTATCAGCAGTTCAATATGCCCAGTAACACGCAGGAGTATCCAGGATTATTTGAAGGGGGGTACGCGGAAGCAAAGTCGACGCCCCCCCCCTACCCCTTGGCGTGTGGTTCGGGGCGCGCTGAAGGGCCCAGAAAAAATTTGGTATTTTAGAGGGCGAACGGTGCCATTTATAACTGTTTATAACTGTGATTCAAGTACTCACAATTCTGATTTCAACAGGGGACTATTGGTGTGATTTTTTTCAGAAATCGAAGGGGGGGTCAGAACCCCCCTGACAACCCCCCGAAATCCGCCACTGTCTCGTGTAGCTTTGAAAATGTTGATCAAAGGATGAAATATACGACTGCGTTTGACTGTGTGTGGTAGGTGGAGGATGCACCCAAGCAAACAATCATGGCGTGGCGGAGGGTGACTGTGGAAAACGCCGAACTGATCGGACGCCATATCGATCATGGATATAATAGATTTCCAACGGATATAAGATGACAGATGTCGCTATTTTCTGGTGTAGGACAAGGGACAAATAAGAGAGGAAGAAAGAAAGAGAGACAGAGAGATAAGAGGGTGGGTGACAGACAGTCGGACATACAGGCATACCTTTCTTTCCTGCCTAATCTTGAGCATCTTAATGGTATAGCCAATAACGACCATCAGGATTAGGCTGACTCCAACACCAAGAATCACACCGCCGGCAATAACAGCTCTGCAAAAACAACAGCATCAAGTCATCTTAAGATCTGACCGTAGAATCGGTTTTGATCATTTGAAGGGAAGCCTGCTTTACAATATTCATTTAGATGTTTTGTGTAAAATTAAAGACCAAGGGGCCATTAACAAAAGATGATCCGAGTACTGACTGATTCGCCGACTAAATATGGCCGACCCCTCTCCACGATGGTCTCCGCGCCTCCACACGCGCCGTCGATGCTGGGGCCTAGCAATTAATCCTCGGGACCGAGATTTAATCCGTTTAATGGCGCTTTGAAGGCGGGGTGACCATCGGGAATCAGCGGCATCGCTTTTGAAGAGGGATCGGCCATATTTAGTCGTAGGATCAGTTAGTACTCGGATCATCTACTCTGAACGGCCCCCAAAACAACTATATATTGGCAGCCTTGTCACTTGATGACAATGGAACCTAAAGATATTATTTAAGATAAAATAAGGGTTTATTCAGCCATTAATTTACATATTTAAAATTCACATACAACGGACATTAGTTACGACATGGTTGCTAAAAATCTATTTTTGTCGTTAAAATGGGAAACAACAGATGGCTAAAAACTTAAAAACCTTTTGGATCCTTTACAAGTTAAAAGTCTACAGTTTCTCAGAAGAAATTAAAAAGATCATGTGCAGGGTGGGTACAGTCAACTATTTTTTTCTGTTTTTGCTTCTAATCCATCTGCGAGGTGGCACTTATAGAGGGGAGATTAAGACCAATGATTTGACTACACGTATTAGACGGTGCTTATCACCGTAAGCATAGCTCGATAGTCGAATGTCTTTATTTTTTCTATGTTGGCTTTATATAAACAGAAAAAACATATCTAAGGATGTCAACTTGATAAGTCTCTCGTGTATCTGTCACGTTGGTAAGAATTTAGATTTTGATGCGTTATTATTATTATTATTATTATTATTATTATTATTATCAACCGGATTTGCGTGTTTTAAAGGGCTATTACAGTAAATCGGATTTTTATTAACTGCGATTTGTATTTTATACAAGTGAATATCTTTGGAGAGCTTAGGTTGCAACTATACTTCAAATGACTATCACTTTATCTTGGCAGACTTTGTAATATTATGTAATAAATGATATTGTCAAAACGATAAAGTAGTGCCCAAGGTAACAAGTGTATAAACACTGTTGTACTTATACTTTAACCTGTACAATATCGTCACGTAATGAATAATCAGATTTGTCAGCCATCTTTGTTAAAACATGGTTGTCATGACATTTCATCCGGTCTTACTCATTCAAAATGTAAAGAAATTAACCGTCGACTCTTATCATGTTGGCATTGAATGTTATTATCACCAAACCTTTGTTATTATTGTTATTCCTTGTTAGCACTTCAGGCCATAATGGGACACACTGTACAGTACTTTTTCTTCATAACAATGCTTCAGGAAGATTCATCACGAGATGTGACGGATGGCAATTATGTTCGAGAACACACACGCACACACACACACACACACACACACACTGGTATTGCCTCCATGCTTTCCGCGAAAATTCATCAACATGACAGACGCTATTAACGTTGGCGCACCTCAGGGAATTCCATTCTTAGAAACCCTGTGAGTTGGCATTATTTCCCATCTCAGCTGGGTGAATGTAAAGTTATCAAGTTGCAATGGCTGTATAGTGAGGAATATGGTTATCTGGGCCGCCATTAGAGCCATGGTAATGCTATTACACTGTGCTGTAACGTTTTCCCACATTAAAAACCGAAGAGCTCCGTTGATGACATGTCTGGATCTTAAGTGTCTTTAGAGCGTTTTTTTCGTCACATTAGGAAGTCATTTATTTAATGGCGTATTTCTCCCAAAATGGTCGATTTCTCTCATTAGACTTAGTCGATCCAGAGGTAATGGTGCGGTGGGTGGTGATTCAGCTGACATAAAATATAGTGATTCTTTCTTTGTGCCTCGTGTACAAAGTCAGTTTAATGTCGCCATGTCTACAGTCAAACAATCTTTGTTGTGAGCGTTACTTGTTGGATGTATCCACCGTTTTTATGCCAATACCCCCCCCCCCCCTGCCCATCTGCAGTTTTAGTCTCCAAGAACATAGCGAATTATTGAAGGCAAAGACAAACTGATTTATTTACGAAGAATAAACGTAGCTCCTTTTACCCAAATAAAGTGGCTGCCAGAAAAAAAGTTGGAAATGCACATTACATTATTACAGGTTTAGGTTTAAACGATTGAGCATTCTTCTACTGATAAGAACCCTTTGGCACTTCGGCATTTGGGCCCTTTTCAGATATCGACCATTGTTTCAGTGATTATGTTTTCAAAAAGAAATTATTTTTGTAGAAAAGATACTGCAATACACCGATTTCAGAATGTCCGAAAATATACTATAGACAGATTAGTATTATCGGCAGCTCACAGAAATGTGTCAATATTTTGAGAAGACTTCCACTGCATTGAAGTCCCGTACACCCCAAAAAGAACTCACATGCCACGGGAGAAAATGTTCGAAAAAAACTGGTAAACCATAAATCTGAAAGTTCTTATCTAGTCTCGGCACGGCGAGAGACGCTATCGCGGTTATAATGACTACTTGGCAGAACTGTAGAGACTGGGTTTATCATCTTGAAAGGATATTTTATCCCGTAATCACCCCATGCCTGATGGCAATCTAAATCAAGTGCTGAAAAAAAGAAAAAAAAAAAAAAAAAAAAACGTGGGCTGATTTTATACGGTTTTGATTCTGGTTTTATCTGGTGAAAGATGAATATATTTTGACTCTAGTTTGGTAGGATTCACGCAGTCTTAAATTCGATCAATACATTTTCGAATAAACCAAAAAAGGAAATATATAAGCAAACACACACACCCCCTCAAAATATACACGTTTATCATTTATCATTACATACTAAACATACATGTATAGATACTGTAGTCTAACAATGAAAACGACTAAAAGGCGATACAGTAACTGCCACTATTCATATGTAGACGATAACTGTAACCCACCCTTTGATGAAAGTTATATACTAAGCCAACGTGGAAATTGAAAGAAGCATGTAATAGTTCAGTGCATAGTCGCTTATTATTTCACCACCTGTTGCACTGATATACGTTGCCATGAACAAATAGAACCGTTTTGGTGCTTAAATTCTAGATCCTAACATTATGTCGCCTAAGCGCGTTTCACAAAAGTTTTTAAAGACAGCCTACCTCACTTTCCTTTCTCGTAATAAAACTAAGCCCAAACACCAAAATTTTAGCCTGCTGTAAGCCAATCTAAAATTTATCAGCCCATTGAATCAAAAGCACCCAGGAGACGATACAATATTAAATCAAACAGAAACACCTTGTATAAGTTGTTCGGTGTCAGAGGGATTCATGGATCATGTTCGTTTTAAGTCTTTTCCTAGAATTTTATCTCAATATAGGGTTTTGTACTTGTCACACAACATTCTAGAGCGCACTGATATAACATTTGGCGCTTCAGTGATACAGCGTGTCCAGGTGCAGTGAGTCACTATAAAGTAGCCGACTTAAACGCCTTCATCTGGAACCAAGCCTACGGCAAACCTTAGCTGACGTCGTGATTTTGATTGCCGATGGCTGTTCTGGATTCCCAGATGCTTACACTCTATACAGTTGTTATCAACATTGTAATTGCACGCACGCTTGTTATTATTCTCTAGGTCAATACCACAAATGGAATTCATAAGTAACAGTTGTCAAATATCAAATAACACATCACTTAAGGAAATTCATCATTGTTGAAACTGGGTTAACAGCATATGAAAACTATGAGTAGGCCTATTTCAAGGATATGCAAATAACACTTTTCGAACAGACATAATCTTTCACAATCTTGCCCCCTTCACACGCAGACAGAGAAGGACATTTAGATATGTAACCGAAGTTCGAAATCAATTGGTCATTCAACATTGCTGTTGATGTGTTTAAATAAAATATGGATGAATGTAAATTATTTGTATTTTTTCTGTCTTGATAACTAAATGATGATAACAGTAGATATAAGAAAGGTTACCGTAAGTAACAACTAGGTAATAACTAAATGTGGTTAACATTAGATATAAGAAAGGTAACCGTAAGTAACAACTAGGTAAAAACTAAATATAGGTAGCATTAGATAACGTAGGGTAGCGTACGTAACGACAAAAATTCATGACACATCCATAGGTTATAACTAGCAGGACACAAACTGTGTCTCATTTCCAGTTAACCCCCAGCTTCTGCATCGTGCTGGTAACGAAACGTCAGTGAACACAACTTCTATAAATGGCGGCTAATGTGATGTAACTTAAGTATAACTTTTGGCCCAGAAGTGGGTCTCGGGCATTCAGGCATTCAGTGCATTACATCAGACGTTTCTAAGGTAACGTTTCGGTAATGCGTTTATGTCTTGCCTGTCATGGCTGGCTGATAAGCCGACAGCAGAATTGACAACTGACTTACTGACTTACATTAATAAGTGAAACAACGCCCAGCATCATTCACGCTCGGCGCACAGTTAATGAGCGCCTGGGGCATATCTACTTTCTTTTAATCGATATACCATTATCTAATAACATGTATCCTCGATTTCCTATTCATTTTGACAAACCCTAAGCAATTATGTCGTGAAATTTTAATTTTTGCGTGGAACATGTTCTATATGCTCTTCACGTCGTTATTGCATTTAAGGGTGCCATAATTACTTAACCTGGATAAATTAAGCAACCTTTTTATCTTTATAAATACGAATTAAAAAGAGCTCCCATGTGATCGCCAATACAGGTACGTTTTTCGGTCGTCCACACTTGCTTTTGACCCTGGGTCCGTAACACAAGTATATTAAATCCTGTAAACACGTGGGAAAAACTATCATTAAATTTTCACGCGCAAGGTCATTTAAACCAGAACAGGTACATGTATCATTATATAGCTATTAAGAATTTTTACTTAAATGGGTTGAATGGCTTCCTAAACCTTGTTTATAAG